TTATGCTCACTGAAGAGTTCTTGTGGGTGAAACAGCTGAATGCCAGTTTTCAGCAAGACCAAGTTCTTAGAATTGGGGACTGAAAACACAGCCCAAGTTAAAAAAAATAAAATAATTCCAGCTGCATTTTAAGAAGACAAGAAGTTTTAAGTGCTTTAAATGCTTTGGAATTCAGGTTTGATTTGAGATCTGCTCTGTAGACACACTACTTTTATCCTATAGCAGTACACTAACTAAGCCAGTAATTTTAAGGATATGTTGTGTGTTTTTTTGGGAGCATATACAAGACAGATCTGTGTATACTCCATGCCAGTCAGACATCACCACTGTGGGGTACCTGGTCTGCAGCTGGTTTATGTCCATCTCATAGGAGCACTTTTGTACTGTTACATATTTTTCCCTGAATTCTCAGCCTCAAATAATTCTCTTCGTATGATCTACATTTCCAATGGAGTGCACTTAGAAAGCCAAGACATATCATCAAACTATTAATAAGACTGTTGCTTACATGAACCTGTGACAAGTTCCTCTGTTAGCCCAGTTTGCCATATACTTCTTTTTGCATAATCTTTATATTTCTCTTTGGAAAGTTCATTCTCTATCTTACAATTTATTCACACCTTCTCCATCTTATTTCTCATGTGATACTGAAACAAGTGCTTCAGCTTCACTTAAGTTTATTTAATCAAGAATTTGATCAAGTACGTTTCCTTTGCTCTGGGCAGTTGGTTATTTTATATAAGAAAGAGTGAGTCACCAGTAAGTCACTTGATATTTTTGTCTGCCTTTTATTTTGATTGTTTTTAGCATCGATCTTGAACTATATGTGTAGAGAAGAAGATTTTTACACACATTTAACATGATTTTGTTTTCTAACTACAAGCAAACAACACACAAAGAATCGCAAAATAATTTATGTGTACAACTGCTTTTAGATACCAAAAAAATAATCTTATATGAGTATGTAGGGGATAAATCTGAAGGAAAAAAAAGAGAAAAAGACAAAAAGCATGATGAAAAAAGAAGCAGATCACAAGAAAGGAATGTGTCAATCTAAATTACCAGGCTTTTATTTATTTATTTATTCCTTTAGCAAGGTTTAGAGAGGGAAGGGAAAAAAAAATAAATACTTGTATGTTGCAAGAGGTTTAGGGGAAGTTACTGCTGAAATCAGCGTATAAATGGTTTGCAAGGTCAGTCTCTGGAGCAGTTAGTGAGTAAAACAGGAGTGGAAATAACACAAAGTACTCAAAAAAAGGAGGGTCCAATCCTGAATGTGTTTGGATGAGTTTCTGAATCTCCAGAATGTTGTTCCTGGGCTATGCAGCTCTGCTCTTATGTTGGACGTCTTGTACTGCACAAAGAGGTAAGCTTTAATGTAGAAAAAAATCAGAGCTCTTTCTTAAAGTGTATGTGAAGCTGGTATTTAAAACAATATGTAGAGGCATTGTAGCCTTTCTAATGAACTTCTGGCAACAGTGACTGAGATTTCTTCTGGCAGTAGTTACACCTTTAGTATTTTATATCTTATCATAGGTATTACTTCACCTATTTATTTGGATAACTACTGCTGTTATTAATCTGATGCCCAAATTTTAAAGGTTAATATCAGTGTAAACTAGAGCCAGATGACTGATATTTTATTAATTATGTTTGTTAATTATTCTAACATCTAAAACCAGTAAACAATTAGTAGAATAAGATAGAAAATATTCCATAAATGTGCATTTATTTCTGTCTAGAATAATCTGTGAGATGATCTGAGAAAGAGGAATAATTACTAAATTGACTGAAAAGCTTATAAAATATCTCTTGACTGACAGACTGTTTTTAGTCTATGAAATGAGATAGATGTATACAAGTATGCTTTTGTACAGGTTTAAAGAGGTAGCTAGTATACTGGGTATCTTTTCACAAGCCTCTGATGCTTTTTTTTTCTCTACTGAATTTATTTTTCCTTATTTGTGTTTATATTGTTTAATCTACCCTCAGTAATTTAATTTTTTTTGTCTTTGCACAGACTGTTGAGGAAAGGGTGCTGTGTGGTTTTGAGCTAGTGTGTCTTTGCTTGGTTCAGGTTGTTTTTAATTTTGGGTGAAGACTATGAAGACCTTATTAATCAAAACAATCCAATGGACTTGACTTTTGTAAAACCGAAAAAATCAGGAAATTAAAGGAATATCTTACCTTAATTAAATATGTTATCACAGTGCTTTATTTAGGTCAGGGAGATTGCAAAGGAATGTGAATGTAGCAAAATTTGATTTATCCAGGACAATTATTACCATGGGTCATGCAGGATTCTTAGTTCCAGCTCCATACTGGAAGTCTGTGTGAGTTGTTCCAAGAGCTGAATTTTTGCACGAGGACAGAAAAACACTTCTACTTGGATTTGTAGCTTGTGCTTGACTTTGTGGAAGTTGCTACCAGCACAATGATGGTAAGAAAGCAGCTTGAGCTATTTCTAACTGAGGTCAAGTCACATGTAAATTCTGAATGAATTATTCCTGATCTCCTTGTCTCTCACTAAAGGATTTGAAGGTATGCATTTAATGCATGCTTTCAAATATAGAAATAAAACCCTTCCAGTATTGGTGAGTACATATGGTGAGTGCATGATGTAATTCATATAGTTTTGAAGTACATCCTGTCAGAAAATTTCTTCATCTCAAGCTACTAAGAGACTGCATTTAAAAATATAATAATTAGCTGAATTTGTAAATAAATAAATAAATAGATAGATAGATAGATAAATAAATAAAATCTGAGACTTGATGGTAATGCATACCATCAATATCAGGGCAGGAGTGGGAATGATCAGAGAGACTTGATATAAAACTCAGAAGGAAGCATTTCTTAGTAATGATGAATAAACTAAGATTATCTTTCATGCTTTTTTTTTTTAATGTAAACACACTGGTGGCTAATAAGGCCAATACAAGATAGACACGTCCAATTGCAAAAGGCACAGCAGAAAGACTCCTTAGATGGTATATTCTGCAAGACACGATTCTTTCTGCATTGTCTTTTCTCCTCAAGGGTGATCATGCATGCTTTCTCAAAGGCATCAGCAGTGTTATAGATGGTGTGTCTCCAGGCCTCCCAATTGGAGGCCAGAGTAGACCAATTATGTTGATCAATATGGCCAAGGCTGAGATGTTGTTTCAGGGAGTCCTTGTATCTTTTCTTTGGGGCTCCTCTCTTGCAGCAGCTGGTGGCAAGTTCACCATAAAGCAAGATCTTAGAGAGGTGGAAGTCCTTCATCCTGGAGACGTGCCCTGCCCAGCGCAGCTGTGTTCTCACTAACATGGCCTCAGTACTTGTGATTGCTGCTTTTTCTAGAACAGATGTATTGGTCACATAATCTGACCAGTGGATGTTTAGGATTGATGGAAGCGTTCTGGGAGACGCAGGTGGTGGCGGTACAACCTTCGAGCCTGCATAGTGGATTTTTTAGGTGAGATGCAGTATGCGCGGAACTGGGCCCACCCTTTCATCCTAAGGTTCCTCTGCCAGGGCTGAATGAGCTTGGATGGTGGCTGCGAGGTCCTCAGGACATAGGTTTGATTAGAGCGTCCTTCTCTTAGATGGATGGCTTTACAGGGCTAAACGAGCTCCATCTGCTTGGGTTTGGAGTTAGAGTTGTCCTTCTCCTAGGCTGACTGCCTGAAGGCTAGCAGGCTCATCCTGCCCATGGATATATTGTATCTGACCCTGCAGTTTTGACCTGTCTGGCATGGAAGACCCTGCTGAAGGCATGTACCATCACCAGCATAGCTCGCAACCGCAAAGGGGTACACAGGCTTCTTTCCACTACGCCGGATTGGGGCAAGCCATTCACCCCCTACTTTTCTGCCACCCATCTATGCTCAATCTCGGACAAATACTCAGGAACATCCCTTTGTCCTGACCATCCATTCAGGACACAGTAAATATATCCAAAACGTACCAAACCTGGGCAGTAGCTGCAGGTGAGCCAAAAACAAACCGTTCCAACCTCCGCACCCACCCGGGGCTCGGGTACTTCCCAAGGCCCCAGCCCGGCCAAGACCCCCCAACCCCCCAGACGAACCCACTATCCACCCTGACCTTATCCTCCCCCCACCGTGTTACCACAGATCTTCCCATGCACTGCTCCCCCACGACACACCACACACTCCATACGGGACTGCCCGCCCGGCTTCCCGCCAGCCCGAGGACCCCCATGGCCCACTCGACATCACACCCCTCCCCCAAACCGGACCGACAAACCTCTGTGTGCTCCGAGGTTCTCCCTCTCCTCTCCCACAAGGTCGCAGTCCTTGCCGGCGAAGCTCCCCCTCTCCTTTCTCCCCGCCGGGGGCCACCCCAGGACCACACGCCCACAGCGCACGGCAGAAGGGCCCATTCTGCACAAGAGACAATTAAAAAAATATAATACAACTCAGAAGTAAAGGAGGAACAGAGTAGAGAAGCTCTCCCTGCACTCAGTAGCCTATTTTTTAAATCTTACATTGCAGTGTGCTTTCTCAGCTTGCAAAGTGAAAGTGCTAATTCAAATGAGGTCTAATGAAAAGTATGTGGAATTAGAAAAATTCCTTTTCTTGTCATTACAAAGAACTTTTTTGGGTAAACTAACCATTTTTAACTCGGTTGAAAGACAGAATTAGCTCCCGTTCATTTTGCTTATTCCTGCATTTTCCAAAAATGTTGTTAGAAAGCAAATGCGTCTTAATCTTGCTAAGAAAAGTATAAAGCCCTGCTATGTTTTTATAGTAGGGTAGTACCCTCTAGTGCATAGAGGCAATAATTTTTATTCAGATGTAATTATTCATAGGAGGGAGCAAACTAATTAAAGTAATGGGAAAAAACATGAACATGCGGGCACACTCTTCCTTTAGCACCTCAGCAGTATTGCCAAAACTTGTCCAATTCCTCTGGCTACTTAAAACAACCAAACTAAAGTTATTAGATCTCACAATTACCATTATTTTCTTTATATTTTCAAAATGCCATACAGAACGTTTAAAATTATACATGTTTTTCTTGTAGCAAATCTTTTTTTTCCTGATTTTTAAACAGTTCTATAAAATTATGCCTCTAATTTGGTAGGTACTCCACTGACTGAAATAGGGAGTGCTCAAGGCTATGTCTTTGCCCAACTCAAGTATAATTCACTTTCCACATTTTGAGGTGGAAGAATGAGTGTTTTTCCTGCTCACTTTGTGTCACAAATCCAGGCTCCCTAGTCTGTGGTTGGGATCTCTGCAGTGTAATTCAGTAAGCTGTAACTCTGCATCCCTCACATGAAAAAGGATTCCAGTTATTTTTCCTGTAGTCCTGTTTTCAAGAAGCACCTGGACAACCTGCAGGAAAGCTTCAGTGAGAGTACTGCTGCTTTCTCAAACCTTTGGCCTTACAGCTGACTGGAGAGAGGACTTCTGTGCCAGGTCTCTGCTGCGTAATGAATGGACTCACCAAGGACTTTCCTTCCCTGCTGGAGAATTCTTCTCCTGTTTATTTTCTGTACAGAGATTTATTTCTTTTCCAAGGCTTCATTTCTCAGGGGTTGTTTTATTTATTCTTGATGAATTCTCACCTTTCATGTTCAGATGGAAACCAGACTTCATTGCATCTAATTAGCTAGACTGTTCAGGCTCTGTTACTCTGGGTAAAGCTTCAGCCTTCTAAATGAGTGCATTTCAGTCACCCAGGCACTGAAAATTAGTCACTGAAATTAGTTCAATAATTATAAACAACTAAAAAAATTGTTTCTTAACAAAATCATTTAGTCTTTCATTAACAGCTTCCCAACATTTGTTTCTTTCCGCTTTAGTCTGGCTTTTCTCATTCTCAATTAATTAACTAAATTGATTCAGGCTCATTTGTTGTAATTCGTAATCTCATAGGTAAGAGAAAAGAAGTTTTGGACTATCAGGTGATCTGAGCCTGGAGAGAAAGTTTAGGCAAAGCAAAGGTGAGAGGAGATTTGACAGAGTTTGATCAAATGACACATGAAATTAATGTCAGTAAAGATGGTGGTGGTTGGAGAAGAAAACAGTTTGAAAGGAAACTCTGTACAGAGTGCATAGAGTTGTTTTCTGTGGCAATGGAAGGACAGGCATGGAGCAACTCCTGCAGATGGAAGGGTAGGAGGTGTCTGTGGTTAGAACCAGGGCACTAATCTCATCTCAGTCTTTGTAACTAAAATCTGTTTCGTGAATCATCACGTGTGGTTTCTTGGCACTTCCTTGGCTATTTTCATGTCCTTCTAAAGGTCTATTCATATTCTTACAAATGTAGATTCTTGACGGTTTCCTATTTTGTGCTGATTAAATAGAAAACTTATGTTGATTTGCTCACAAATGTCCAGAGGATTTCGTGCTACATTTTCTATTGTAAAATTGTTTTTGTGTTTGTAACATGTGCTTCAGTCACCAATATTTTTATTTAAAATTTTTAGCTTGTGAAGAACCTCCTCCTAGGAGGGTTAAGGAAGTGCCTACTAAAATATGGGACAAACCTCCCTATCCACATGGTACTCAAGCAACATACAGTTGTCGGCCTGGATATATAAAACCTGGACGAATTATGTTTAAGTGCGTTGATGGGGCATGGCAGCAGCAGCCCCCAGTGACAGAATGCAAAGGTAAGTATTTATGCAAAACAGAAGCAAACATTTGACCTGACAGATCACATTCCTTGCCAGTGATGTCAATGTGAAATTGCCGTTGTATCTTTACCTGTAACTTACTTATTTCTGCAGTCTTTAAAATATCATCCCAAAAAGTATGTATGCATAAGGAAACATTTTTTGAAGTTCATTTTCTCCAGATCAAAAGATTTATTTTTTTTTTTCTTTACAGAAGATCTTACTCTAGGCCAGCCTTATTAACCCAACTTACATTACTAAGATCAGTTTGTTAATTCTTAGAAGCTTCCTTACAATATTTTACGTAATGTCTAATACAGATGAAATTTACAGTCTAAGCAGAAGAAAGCACTAACCTAACTTCTGAATGCAGTCAAGAGACAGTTTATTCAACTAGTTCTGTGAACGATATAATTTCTTGGAAGTGGGGTATTATTTTTCCCTGCCTTTTCTTTTAATCTGTAATTCACAATTAGGATGAGAGCTTTTACTTATTATCTCTAGTGTACTGTGCTAAGAGTTTAGAAGTATCTCACAACCTCATATGGAATTCGTTAGTGAAGATGTTGAAGTTTATTATTGTTAGTCAGCAGATACTTCTTTTCTGTAATAACTGAGTTTTAAACACAAAGGAATATTAGAAACAGGGGGACTTTTTCTTGCATATCTAACATACAACATTTTTACGAGTAGAATATAAATGTTTGATTTAATAATATAAATTTAAGTTCCAGGTGTCATTCAAACAGAGATTGATACAAATCATGAGGAAGAGTTGATTAAGAAAGTTGCTGCAATTTTTTTTTACATTTTTTATTTAGTCACCATCTCAGCTTTTAGATTTATTTGTTTAACTACTCAGTGAACACGAACCTGTACAAAATTTGGTGTAGTTTTAAGTACCATGTTTTAGCAAATACTGCCACCCAGTGAGCAGCTACTGCAACCGGCAAGGTGGGTGTCAAGAGAGAAGGGATGCTCTGCCACAGACTAAGGGAACACATTCTTTTTCCAGGATAGACCACAGTAGACAGCAAAATTGATCATGAGTTTTCCATTTTCTCTGAATCCCACTGTAGTGAGTGTAGGGCCTACTCAAACACCTCCTGGTTGGAAAAAAAACAAGGATGTTGATATGCCCTAAGAAATGAAATTGCCTTGATCAATAGGGAGCAGGAAAGACTTCTGAGGAGGGCTGATAGGTTTTAGCTGTGCAGTTTATTTAGCAGTCCATATTATAGCATCAAAAGGGGAAGAATGAGAGGGATGGTATGTTCATCTCTGCCACTCTTGGGAATCCAGAGTAAAGAGTTAAGAATGTCCTATGGGGAACTTTGAGCAAAAAGCACTAAGGATCAAAATACTCCGGTGGCTTTACATCCCCCCCCTTTTTCCTCAGCACATTTTTATTTCCAATCATGGATGCATTCTCTAATGGAAGCTTTGGACAAGTTTATGTCACAAATTGCATAAAACATTGCCATAAATTTGTCATAAAACTTAAGATGCACTCAACCTTTTTAAAGGTATAAAACCAACCAATTTGGGGTTTGGGGTTTGGGTTTTTTTTAAAGGAGCACATACATACTCCAATATGTTCTCATTGAAAATAGTGATAAAAAAGGGGGGCATTAATCAAACTAATATTGAGCATTTTTGAATTTTTGAAAGGCCTGTACTCACTACTAGTTATTGAGAAAATGCTGTCTTTTACATTTTCACGTTCCTATGTATGGTGTAAGTACGTTTTTTTTCCTCTTCATCATCATCATCTTCTTTTCTTTTTTTTTTACCAGAAAAGCCCTGTGGGCATCCTGGAGATACTCAGTTTGGTTCCTTTGAACTTACCGTTGGAAGTGAATTTGTATTTGGTGCCAGAGTTGAGTACAGATGTAATGATGGGTAATACTTGTTTAATTCAGTGTATGGGAATTAACATAAGGTGTTAATTATAGTGTCAGTTATAGATTTGTTCTCTGTAATGCAGCTGTAAAGCATCTTACTGATATTCACTACTTGCTTATGGTTGAATTTGAATTTCTGCAATTATGGTAATACTAAAGATAACTCTTTCTCGTCGGGTGCTGCTGGAGTAACTGAACTCCTGCACTTGATGCTTCATCCGAAGTGTCTAAAATACGTAAGGCTTTATCTAACTTGAAATCATGGCTGTTGAGTAGAAAACAAAAATAGTGACCTGTCTGTAAAGCTGCATCATGACTCCACGAGCCAGCCAGTTCAGATGGAAGTGCTGGTCAGTATGCTGGAGTCTGTGCTGTCAGTAGGCAGCCAGGATGCAGTTGTGTTAGAGAAGTCATTAGGCCATGCCACAATCTCCTCTTCAGAACCACAACTGCTTCAATCATTTTTTGCATTATGAAGTAAAATGTATTGTAAAAAATCTTTGAAGGAAGACATTTCTGGTAGACTCACTAGCTCTCAGCATGGTACTGTGGTTTAGCCATGGTTTTTGCCATTGTTATATTACTGGAATCTAGTCTGAGTTCCACAAAGAGAGCTCCAAAATCAATATTCTCCTTAATCCCTTAGCTTCTGTTCCTCACAGTCATTTCAGACCATCTATACTTCCTCTGACTGCATTTCAGACCAAGCAGAAGCCATGGCAATGTGTCCATATTGCCCTCAAACTTAGGATAATACTTCCTTATAAAAGCACGACACATATGGTTTGGATTAAGTCCTGTGTGGATGCTGTCACATGGCTTTCAGCCACACTAGAAGAGAAGGAACAGGAGCTTTATTCTCCTTGCTACTGACTGTGCAAATTGCCTCTAGGTTATTTATTATGTAGCCAGAGCTTGCTATCTCTGTAATGAAGAAGCCTTCTTACTAATTCCTTCCTACTTTCTGATTTTATTTTATATTTTCACATTTGCAATTAAGGGAAAACAAATAGGAGACATGCAGATCAAAAAACTACTCTGTTTTGTTGCATTTTGATTGTTTTGTGCTGGAACATCTGACACCTACTTCCTTTGCTTCAAGAACAGCAGCACTGTTGTTTCTGTCACATAATGAAACTGTATTTTAGCATTGTTTACTTTTTATTGGGTAAGATACCAGATGCTCAGCCAAAGAAATTACCGTGAGTGTCAGGCAGATGGATGGAGCAATGATATCCCTTACTGTGAAGGTAAATGGAGTTTTATTCTCTATTTAATTCATTTATTTATTTTTTAAAATTTACTAATTCAATTGCATTTAATTCTCTATCAGACTGCCTTTTTATCTGATAGTCTGAAACTATCTAGAACTAGTCTGTGATCATTTATAGGTATTAATTCACATATGTTTAAATTCAAGTTAGGCAGCAGTGAAACCCTTACAATGACTGCTCAGCCAGTTTAGTCCAAGAAGCTTTTGTTAAAAACCATTCACGAAATGCAGTCCGGTCACTTCCAAAATGGTTTAAAGCTCTGCCTCACCTAAAGGCCCTGATAGAGTAGCTGCCTGCAAAACATGGCTGCAAAAGATATTTGGGATGCTGTGCTTCAAAGGAGTGTGAAGGCATGTGTGTTTCTAGCTAGTTCCCTCCTCCACCCTTGTGAAAATCCTAACCATTCAGATTTTGTTACAAGGTCTTCTCCCTATTATTAGCATACTGTGAAAGATGTTCAGTCAGTTAGTGTGAGAGCAAGGGAGACTCAGACATCAAGACTTAAAAGACTGGATGGCTCAGATGATGCTTCCCTGATCTTTGATGATATAATTTTTAATTGGTCTATTTTTAATATATGTGGGCAGCAATGACATTTTCTCTGATGTCAGGAAAAGGTCTCTAAGTAAAGAATCACAAAAGAAAGTAGATATCTTTCTCTTGTCTAGAGTTTGTTGTCTGTGTTCTGACATTTCCTTGGATTTAGATACGTCCCATTTAGTTAATGGATTTTGAGCGTCCTCAAAATTAGGCATACAGGTCTCTCTGCACAGTATAGAGCAAGGGTTTCTAGCTTTTTTTGTCATGTGTTACCAATATACTGCAATTTTGAAGTCCTCCTAAGATAGATATTTCTTTCATGGTTGACTTTTCATTGAAATACAATTGCGTATGAAAAAAAGTATTTGTATAATGTCCTAAATGTGAGGAACCTAGAAGACAGAACAGGAGCTCCCAAAAAAGGCAGATGACTTATAAGATGGTGAATGCTTCAGAGACAAGTGGGAGCTTTGGTAGACAAAACACAAGCCACTTTTTTACCTGCTCAGGGATGTCTGTGTGAACATTTAAGATTGAGTTTTGATAGTAATTTTCCCCCTCGATACGAAATATTTGATGACATACGTTAATTCTTCCTTTTTTTCTGCAGGTAAAAAATTGGGAGATGCTAGAGGTCTAAATTAATGGCTGACACTGTGTTTGTTTACTTTAGTAATATCATTTCTCTGATAACCTTAGCTAGGATTTTAGTTAATAGCTGAACTGTTCTGGTCAGCCTGTAATGTAGCACTTTTCCAGATATCTGTCTATAGCAAATTCAGTTTGGTACAGCTCTAAACTAATTTTGACAAATTTTAATGGCCCTGTGTGACAGTCAAGGCTCATCTGACCATCCATAGAATGCACAGGCTTATAGTATAATTTAGATTGGGTATGAGACCCCAGGAGGCCATGTAGTTCAGTGGGTGCTCTGTCTTTAGCCTTCAAGGGCAGACAAGAGGATGATGAGAACCGGTCTATAAGCTTCTTCCTGTGTCAGTCTGTCTTTTTCCTTAGGGGGTTGTATTATATCTGCTGAAAATGGTATCTGAATACATAACTAAAGAGTATATTTTTTAAATGTGTAAGGAAATTACAGTGAGTTTTCTGTATTTTCACTTTTTTGTGTGTCAATTTATTTTACAGACTAGATTTCAAAATTACTTCTTTCTTTCCTTTCCTTTTGTTTTGTTTTATTATTCCAGTGGTAAAGTGTTTACCTGTACAGGCACCAGAAAATGGAAGAATAATTATGGCTGGTGCATTTGAGCTAGACCAAGAATATGCCTTTGGCCAAGTTGTAAATTTTGAATGTAATGCAAAATACAAGCTTGTTGGAGCTAAAGAAATAATTTGCTCGTCTAATGGAAGATGGAGTAACGATGTGCCTCAGTGCCAAGGTAAAAGGGACACTACTTATAATGTGTAATTAAGAAGCTTTATTCTCACAGACTCCTAAGGACTGGTTACCACATGGGAAGCTACAAAGCTTTTACTTTATTTCACAACAATTAAACAATCTCTGTAAACAATCTCCATTGCATATATGAAGAAGAAGTAGGATAAGAAAGAGAAATGTGATAGTATTGGATGCTAATATAATCATAATAGACCATCTGTTTGTTCCACATTTTCGCTACAAGCTGAATATTTTGCCAGACTGCAGTCAAATTCTTTGAAAATAACTTTGATATGTCTACCAGAAATTCAATCACTTCAGTGTTAATTTAACCAAAGTAACTAGAAATGATTTTGAATCTATGTGAACGAAAAATAAACAAGTAGGATTTTTAATCCTAGGGTATATAGAATACAAAAAAAATCCTGATGGGTTTTTCTTTCTTCATGCTAAGGTGTTTTTACAAGTTAGAATGTTCATGTTTAGTTTTTACAGAACCACAGAATCACAGAAGAGGTGAGGTTGGAAGGGACCTCTGAAGAGCAATTAGCTAGGGCAAGTTGCTCAAGAGCATATTCAGTCAGCTTTTGAATATCTCCAGCAACAAAGGCTCCACAGCCTCTCTGGGTAACCCATTACAGTGCTTGAACACCCTTTAGTAAAAATGCTTAAGTGGTATTTCCTGTATTTCAATTCATTGCCCCTTCTCCTAGTATGGCTGGCTGCCAATGAGAAAGATCTGGCTCCGTCATCTTTACTTCTGCCTGCCCCACAGAAGTCAGGAATTTACACATATAAAAAAGACCCTCCCTCACCACCCCGAGCCTTTTTTTCTAGACTCTCTTAAATCTCTTTTAATCTGTCAGTTTTTCCAATTCCTTAATTATCTTCACTGGATTTGCTCCAATATGTCCATATCTTTCCTCTATTGAGGAGTTTGGACCTGGGGAGATGTAGAGGGAAAGCATCATCTCTTTTGATCTGCTGGCAACACTCTCCCCAGTGGAGCCCAGGATGCTGTTTTCCTTGTTTGCTGCAAAGGCACATTTCTGGCCCCTCTTCAACTTGTCCATCAGGATCTTTTTTTTTCTGCAAAACTACTTTTCAGCCAGTGGACTCCACGCTGCCCTGCCTGCAGCTTGTACAGGTGGATGGAGTTATTCCTCCCAGTTTGAGAACAGAGATTGTATGGGATTGGATTATCAGTATGTAAGAATGAATCCCAGGAAGATTATGGTAACAAACACTTAAATTCTCAGACTATCAAGTTTCTTATATTATTTATATGTTATCTGATCAGGAAGAATGTGTTTAAAAGACCAGAGTATGTCAGCATGGCAGATACACGTATGGTTTGTTCACAATGTCAGCACTGCATTTCACTGCTTTGAAATCCCCATTTATTATCATTTATAGCATAATCCCACATCAAAAGTGGAAGGAAACATATCTGCTTGTAACTTTTGCAGAATCTAGTGAATGTCATTTAACAATGACAGTTCCAATGAGCTATATTTCATCCTAAATACAAAGTAAGTTCAGCAAAGGAATCCAAGAGAACTCTTGGGTGTTCTGCTCTGTGACCTAGGAAGCAAAGCCTTGAATATTTTCTGGTTCTATGAATTCAGTTTTAGGAAACTGCAAGATCTTGGTGGTTTTATTGGGTTTGGCAAGGAGCCGGGATTGCTGATGTTCTTTCATAGATAGTTAAGCATTCTAGTGTCAGTTTTCCAGATACTGTAATTCATTTATCCTTTTGATGTAATGATTTAACTAATAATATACTGGCTATGGCAGTACACTAGGTTTTCTGGAAATTACAACCAAATTATCTGAAAAAGGAAAATCCTAGATTTCAGCTAACCTAGTTTCTGATTTTGGAATATATTCTGCATTATATATTGATTCTAGGATCCATTAAAATCCAAAGCAAAGCCCTGAAATTTGTCTCATGAATCAATTTGCAACTCATGCTGTGCTACTTTCTACCTGGAATCCACAATCAGGTCACTGAAGAGTTCTCAAATAAGTTTCAAACAGTTTCCAAATGCAAAAGTTTTTGTGAATTCAAAATCAGAAAATCCCAAAAACTAGATTTTATTACATTAGGATTTTATGCTTAGCAAATAAAAATAAACCAGAATACATGGCTTTTTGTCTTCCTCTATTTCAGATATTAACTGTGATGTGCCAGAAATTCCAAATGGATATGTACATTCTCCAAAGCAGTCTTACAAGGAATTGGAAATACTGCGGTTTTCCTGTAATGATGGATACAGATATGGCGAAAGATCAGATGCACTGTGCACTGAAACAGGATGGAATCCACCTCCCTATTGCACTGGTTAGTCTGACCTAAAGTGGTTTTACACATTTGTTGGGTTTGGAAGTAATTTCAGAGATTAATAAATTTATTCATAACAAAATAAATCCCATCCACATTTAACCAATATCCATGAAGATTTGGAAGGATTAAGTACTAAAGGGGCCAAGCAACTGGATAAGAGTTTTCCATGGAGAGCAGTAACAAAAGCAGTTAATTCAGGGTTTTTTTTAACTGGAGTGTAGATTGAGAGATCCTCAAAGCAACAATTGCTCCAGTATACTACATAAGCAAGATTGATGCTAAAATACTCATGCAGAATTGGTAGCTGTTGTTATTATATTGTATTTTTATATAATTCTGAATTAGTGGGAAGAATAAAAGAAAGAGATTTCTTGAGTTAGAAATAAATCCTAATTTGGACAGAGAGGAAGGATAAAGCTGAATACCTTCTACAAAACACAGTGAAAATGTTTTATCAAAGGAATAGAAAAAATCAGACACAGAAAAGAACATTTAAGCAAACAGGAAAAAAAGTATTAGTACCAGAGAAATTCAAACTGCAGAAGGAATCTGAAATTTTTAATGGCATGGAAAAATTTAATATTGAAACCAGCTTCTTGGAAAAGTGGTAAAAAGTCCTATTTCTTCACCTAAAATCTTGATACCTTCTTAAGTGCGCTTAACATGGACATAACTGGTACAAGTCAGAGACTGTGCAGTAAGTTGGAAGACTGAGTAAAGAAATATTTGTTTGATACCATAGGAATAGCAGCTGTATGAATAAAGTTGAGAAAAGCTAATAGTCTTAGCTTGATGACCTCCTAGTGAATCACAAGGAGTTCTTTGAGGGAGAGATAGAGGTTAATGCATCTTCAGGTATTTGAGATGTTCAGGTATTTGAGATGCTGTGTCACCAGAACCAAGACTCTGCTCCTTGTAATCAAAGGACTAAACACTCAGTAAAAGATCACTCAGCATCTCACTCTCTATGAACATATGAGACAATAGAAGTTTGCTTGACCTACTGAACTAACCTTTGCATTTTTTCTGAGTGTCCTGATGAGTCTTACTCATGAACAGACAGAGCACCTGGTTGCCAGTCATTATATCCATTCTTTAAAATCCCAGACTACTAGTTCTGATCAACCAGTTCCAACCAAAGAGAAACAATTCAAAAAAGATCCGTATTTCACTAATGGACCTTCAGTAAGAAGTTGTTGGTATACTGTGCAACCTTTCAGAAATGACTGGCAATTACAACAGTAAACATCTTTCAAAGTATGTTTCAAACTAAAATCCTGACTGAAGTTTGTAAGCTGCCTTTGAAGAGCTCTTCTGACATAGTAGGATAGTGTTGTAGGAAGATATGGAAGTAGTCCAATTTCTGAATTTCGGTCTATTGATGGCCATAAGTGTGTAAGCTGAAAATTACAATGCAGTTTTAATGCTGGATTACACGTAAAGCTGAAAACAATAGTACTTTCTACACAGACATTTTGTCAAGAATTGTGTGCAACATAGATTTGATGATCACTAGCCCCAAGAACCATGGACATAAAGCGATGTATAAACAGAGACCAAAGGACCATGGGGTGCATGAATCCTGCCCTTGTCGATGACCCTTAGTCTAGGATGAAGACAGCAATATATTTAATGTCATCCGAGCTGTAATTGAGCAACCACAGTATCCACAGCATTCAAACTTCACATCAGAAATTGCCTGAGAATCTCTGCAAATTAATATATTTACAATACTAAAGCTCTCTATTGCTTTTTAACTCTCAAATGCCTTCTGGGCAATTTGTATGACAAATCCATAATTTTTGAGGCTGGTCTTGTTTGACATCAGCCCTCTGGGTCATGGATTTTACTTTAGTTTAATTCAATTACAGCACTTACAGACTATATTTAAATCTCTAAATCTAGCAAACAGAAATATGCATGCTATGTCCCAACTGAAGCAGTTTGATGTAAATTTTGGGGAAATTATTAGTGCCTTAAATTGTCTTCAAGAAATTGCCAAACTCTTGAGACTGGAAAAAATTGTTAGCAACAGGGCAACATTGTAGGATGTTATTTACCACCTACCTTCCTGGGACCTCTTCCAGAAAGACTCCTTTAGAAATAAAGACTTGTCAGTCTTGGGGCCCACTCAGTTCTTGACCTTTCTGCTTCAAGATTAGTAATGGTACTAATTAATATGCACCGCCTACATTTGAGCAACATACTGCTTTTGAGGAGTGCCAAACAAACATTCTTCTAGACACCAATATACTGGGCTCTGATACTTGGGGCATATTCGAACAGTGGTTCTGGATCCTACTTGACTTATCACTGAACCTAGATGATTCAGCAGTACATGCATGCAACTGATTCACCCACCTTCACAGCAGGACCAACCCGTAGTCATTCCCTCCCAGCCCTGAGGGTGCTGGTGTTTTTTTCTGAATTGGAGGTAGAATACAAGAAATCTGAAGGACGGGTTCTATTTTATAAAGAATACATTTTCCTGGCTTCTCTGAGCATAAAGATATCATGGGTTTTTTAGAATAAGATTCTTGACGTTTTTCAGTTGTTGAAATACTTCCAGTGTCAGTGTAAGTCCCTAATCTTAATCACACAGCCTTTGAATGATCAGTTCCTAGTTAAGTGTCGATATTTCTCCCTTTAGGATCTGCAAGTGACACTGCCCTACTTTGGGACAGTGTCCATAAATGAGCCCAGCATAACCCAGCTGCAGAAAGACCTCCTGGAAAAAATTAGTCAGATTCAGTTTGATTTCCTCCAGTTCTTCCTCCAACCATTCCCTCTGCAATTGAGTTTTAAGCTTCTAATTAATATGACAGCAGTAACAGCTGTCATTCTTCTCTTACAGAACCATAAGAGTGGGAGAGGAATGTAATCTGTTCTTTGCCCTAAGAAAAATCTTTTTAACAATTTTATGCAGTTATGGTCAATATACTATGAAAACAAGAACTTAAGCAATAAATTTAAACATATTCTTCATTTTTTCTCTTTTTATTTAGAAATTGTGTGCTCTCCTCCAGTAGTTCACCACGGAAACTTTAGACCTGACAAAGGCAGTTACAAAACGGGTGATACAATCATGATACAGTGTGATCCTGGATATCATTTAAAAGCATTGACTGGCAGAAACACAGCTGAATGCACCGGGAATGGCTGGGTGCCTGAGCCAGCTTGTGTCCGTAAGTAACTCTCATGGATGAAAATACAAACTGTAGAGTTGTTAGAAGCATCTGAGAGAAAAAGAGGTCAAGAGCAGAACTTAAGGAGCATTAGACATGGGAGTCACTCATTTTTTTTCTTTGTGATGTAAAGCTTAATGTGATGGTTTAGAAAAATCACCTATAAAACAATGGTTTAATCAATATTTACATTATGTTTATTAACACAGGTATTATCTATTACTGTATTTGTGAATTTGTTAAAATGTGCTGTAGTCAGTTCACTTGTGCTCCACTCAAGGAGCATCCCAGCCAAGATAAGGGGACATCATGAGTGTTAAAGTACAAACTACAGGTAATGGTTGGAAAATGTCTTTCCTCTTAGCTATCACAGCTTTAGATTTTTACTTGCAGTTGTAGGTTGGTTTTATGAATAGTCACATATATTTCTATCTGTTATAACCTGTCAGATAACAAAACAAGGTATTGATGGTTGATGAGTTCTTTATTGACTTAAACTTCCCATAACTACAATGATAGTATTGCCCAGTAGGCACAGTATAAAAAATTGATATATAAATTAGCAATTAGTTTCATAATCTAGCACTCTTTGATCTTTGGTCATTGAAAATAAAAGAAAAACTTAGAACAGATTGTGAGAGAAACCCTGATGGAATCAGTCTTGTAAATGAACCTTTGGATAAGATGATTTGAGCTATTTCTGAAAAGTGCTCTGTTAATATCTGTATTAATGTTTTCTCTGTATTAGTATGGGTTCCAAAATTCAGATATCATTCTGAGACCACTTCATTCATTATTGAATGGTCTGTCCAGTGCCTGCCTCTGCAGGTAGGCTCTGGGTCAGAGCATTTCAGGAGGAACCTAGGTAAACTTGAATGAAAGCTTCTGGGAGTCTCCTCCTTCTATCCTTGGCTTCTCCCTGAAAAAGGTCAGTTCTTTTGAGGAACCAAGAGAATGAAATTACAATTTTAAAATAAAATTTTAAAATAAAAATGAGAAGAGTAAGGAAGAGCTTTTGGTGCAGGGTCCCAAAAGTTACAAATGGAAGTGGTAACAGGAGTCATCTCAATTTTAAAATTGTACAGGTCAGTTTCTATATCTGAGCCACATGTCTGGGCTCCCATCATGGTCAGAAAATAGTAAATTTAGTCAAGACCCTCTACAAGGACAATGTCATCTCACTGTAGAATAAATATTTACATTTAGTCTCATGAGTCTGCCTTTGGAGTCTGCTGAGAATATTTCCTGGATTTCTGTTGACTGCAATGGAATTGGGGGAAATGACAGAGCTATAAGCACTGCCAAAGACACCAGAAGCAGAGTGCGAT